AAAACACTGAACTGGAAGCCATAATATAAACACAGAGGACCTTCTACAGACCTGTGCAGGCCTTATGTCTGCTTCCTCAGTCTCTGTGAGTTCATATGACATTTCATCATGTTGACTTGGAGTGCCCTGCATTCTTAGTATTCTTGATATTCTCAACCCAACTGGATATTACATTCTTCCTGACTCTTCTGTGATAATCCCTGGGCTCGAGGAGAGGGATTTGGTGGAGACATCCCATTTAAGAATGAATATTTCAAAGACTCACACTCTCTGCCTAATATATCATTGTGGTTCTGAATATTTGTTCCCATATGTTACAGGAGGAAGCTTCTCGGATGATGGCTGAGCAAGGCACTTATCTATAATTATAGCAGGAAATCATTATGAGTCATTTTATCTCAACTTTTTTTAACACCAGTGTTATTTGGTCCCTGAGATATCTAGTCTCATGTTCTGTGGCACCTAAGCAGTGCCAATTCTTGGTTCCATCTAAGTCAACTCAGTTATTGGTTGGTTACTCCCACACATATTGTACCACCATTGCCCTTGCATATCTTGCAGGCAGTACACCATTGCAGATAAAGTGCAGTGTACTTCCTGTGTCAAATATGGTAGAACAAAGCAGGTAAAGGCTCTGTGTAGGTACCAGCTTTGATTATTAACATAAAATGTCTAATTTCATTTCAGCTCTTTCTGATCTGGAGATCCTGGCCCAATCAATCACATTTATTTTTGCTGGCTATGACACAACAAGCACTACTCTTTCCTTTATTACATATTTACTGGCAATTCACCCCCATGTTCAGAAGAAACTGCAGCAAGAGATTGATGCAGTCCTGCCTAATAAGGTGAGTGGATGATGCTGGAAGCCACAGGGAAAATGTCAAACCTCAACCTGAAACACTACTTCCACACTTGCATTTCAAATTATAGTAAATAAAGTAAGAATTAATTTTTCAGCAATGGTCACTGAAAATCTAAGACAAAGGAAAAATTATGTGTAGAGAAAAAATAACCTCTGTAATTCTGTACTGACCCTGTCATAAACACTATTTCTAACTACAGATACACAGTCCAAACACATGCATAAAATCTCTTTAGATTTTTAAAGATAAGCAAATGTCAGTCAAGTGTCTTCTTTAAACTTAAATGGGTGTTTCACCTACATGTATATCTGTGTACCATGTGCATATATGAAACATGAGGAAGCCAGAAGAGGGCCTCAGATTCCCTGTAATTAGACTTCCAGGAAATGCACTCACCATGTGGGTACTGGAAACTGTCCTTGTGTCCCCTGTAAAAGCAAACAGTGCTCTTAACCACTGAGGCATCCCCCTAGAACTTAAACAATTGAACTGACAGCTGTATTATTATTGCTGGAAATGCTTTGGCATGACTGTTATCAATGGAGCCTCACCTAATTTTGGCTAGGCAGGCTGATTCAGCTGTTCTTCTCTTTACTCCTCTCTCTAATCACATAATTAGCCTCATAGAAAGCACATCATGGAAGCTTCTAACTTAAACAATTCACCTCTACATTATGCGAGCTTCAGTGTCTCACGATGTGAGACCAACACATCATATGAGCTGTCTTCTCATCTATACCCCAAACTGGATACAATGGTGTGTGACGTCCCTGAACTCTGGGACTGGCTCTGTTGTCAAGGAGGTACATACAAAGCATCTTTAGACCTCATACTCACACCCTCTTCCTGTTTCATTCTGTCAATGACAAACCCTATCACCCAAAATAACTATGAGGAGGAGAGCATTTACTTCAGCTTATATTTTCACATAACAGTCTATCACTGAGCAAAGTCAATGCAGGAGCTCAAGACAGGAACTTGTAGGCAGGAGTGCATGCCACTCTACACAGCACTGCTTTTGACCAAGGTACTCACTCACAGCCAAAAAGCACAGCAGGGACTATGGAGGATGCTGGCTGGTCAATGGCCCATTCACTGACCTATCCTTATCTAGATGTTTTCATGCATCCCAAGGTCATCCACTCAGGAAATAGTACTATCTATAAATGGTTGGACCCTGCTACATCAATTAACAGTTAGGAAAATTCTCCCAGATATATGCGCAAACCAATTTAAAGTAGCAATCCCTAATCTTTCCATCTAGACTTCTTTCTCAGGTGACTATAACCTGTGTGATGTTGAAAGTTAAAGATTTATTTGAACAGCATATGAGGTACAAGAGAATGTTTCTTTCAGAAACTGAGCATGGAGCTGAATGGACCTCTCACTGGAACATAAAGATTTTGCTCAATTAGTCTCCATTTTCACACTACTTTGCAATAATGAGTTTCAAAAGGAAAAAAAAACATCCTACTGAAGTTAGTAGTCACTGTAATTTCATATACTATTCCTGTTTAATATGGCATTGATCTTCAAATTGAACATCTATAGTAATATTAAATTTAGTTATAGGATTTAAACCCTGTGAGTTGCCCTTTGAAAGGAATGATATAGAATTTTAAGAAAAAATTTAATGTTCCCCACATTATATTTCCTCGGTCTGGACATGTGGCCTCCTTATATTAAGTTTTGACAACCTCAACAGCAACAGCTGATTTATGTTGAATGAGATTGACATGATATGCCATTCATTACTACTGAAAAGAAAAACAGTACAAAGGAAAACTGAAGACTTGGGACCTACGTGTAAGCTTATGTGAATGTTCTTCCATATTCACTTCACCATGCATTTCAGTGGACCTTTAGTATGTCAACACACATGACTGTGGTGAATAGGACTTATCAACAGTAAGTCCAATCATTAACCTGGGTTGAATGTTGTGTTCCTAAAAACTTAATAGTTCTGAATAGATTGACATGAAAGTTAGTTTTGAAT